AGAAGTATTGGAAGAAAGATTTAAGGAGAGTGGCTGAAGTTTGAGCAAGAAGGCTAATGAGGGGGACAAGGAAAGATTACTGGGTGGTTTGAGAACCCATTGAGGCTGGTGACGATTAACCATGGTGGCAGCTGTGTGTTTGTTTCAGGATTGTTCAGCAGCCTGGTACAGGCATAAGAAGAGGGGCATTTGGATTCATCCAGGATTGGGGTTTTGCTGGGCAAGTGATAAAAAGGATGGGTCTAGAATACATAAGAAAGGAAGTGAATAAAAGGATAGAATTTGGGAAAAGTTCTTTGGAAATGATAAGTTCAGGGAACTGAGAGGTCAAGATGCTGAGTGGGACACTGAAGAGATCCAGATGGTGGCAGGATGCTCAGTGACTGGGGGCAGATGAGCATTTGGCAGGACAGTGAGGGGTGGGGCATGGGGCCAGAAGGGATGGTTGTCAGAGCAATGGAGATTCTCATCAAGGGTAAAGGAACAGTTGGGAAGGACAGGGTCTTCAGAGTTGAGCCAGGTTCTAAGGCAAGAAGATGCAGAGATGTTCTATAAAGTGGTAGAAAATATTGAAGGGTTTGTTAACCACAGAACCACTGCAGGAGGAAGAGTGGAAAGCGGTGGGAGGGAGGGGAGCAGAGCGAGGTTGGGTTGAGGAAAAGGAAGCTCATGGAGAGGATAGAGCAGTGCAGGGAAGTACATGCTGGCATGAGAGACACGGCGGGCTTAGCTGATCCCAGCCTGGCCAAGAGAATTAGCCCCAGCTCTTCCGTTTGTACTTAGGTTTCACTGGAGCCAACCGGATAAATGACATTTCAGAGAGCATGTGAGTCTCAGGACCCTGGAAAGAATTGGCTAGTACTACTCACAGCCTTCCTAATATTTTGCTTGTATCATGAGGCATTTCTCTTCCCACTTGTCACATTTGTTCTTAAAACAGATGTGGGTCAGTGATGTGTCAATGGCCTGTCTTTGTAAAAAGAGCATGGTTCTCAGCACTGCCTGCACAGAAGAATCACCTGGGAGCTTTAAATACATACTAACGCCTGGGGCCCCAGACCTCTGGGGAGGAGGCCTCCAGAGTCCGTACGATTGATTTTCTTAAAAGCTCCCTTGGTCATTCTAATGTGTGCAGAACTTTGGCGTTAGACCTTTGCTACCCGGTTATATGGTCCATCAGCGGCAGCATTGGCATCACCTGGGAGCTTGAAAGAAATGCAGAATCTCAGGCCCTGCCCTTGACCTACCAACTGGTCAGAACCTGCGTTGTACTGAGAGCTCCCTTTGCAGGAGATCCTTATAAACATGGACATTTGAGGAGCCCGGCCTTGAAACAATACAGATGCCTGGGTCCCTCCTCTAGAGATTCTGATTTTATTGATCTGGGCTGTGGCCTGAGAATCAGGAGTTTTGAAGGCTGCCCCTGTATTTCTAATGTTTCATCAATTCAAGACCCCTGCCTTACAGCATCTAGCAAAGCTAAAGAAAGGTGCCCAGTGAGTTTCCACTCAACCAGGTGGATCAGCCCCATCTTTGTTTAATGGTTTCTGACCTTCGATTTAACTTACCAGTGACCTCCATTGGCTTCTCATTTGGGGATGGAAACTGCCTGTCATGAACTTTAGCAGGAACATCATTTCTCTTCATTTTCAAAGATGCTCCTGGGAGGCTTGGTAACTAATAAGACAGAAACTACTACACAACCTGAGGCCCATTCCATAAGGTCCGGTTCATTTATTAAGGGAAAAAAAGGTGTTGCCTACAGGACCACCAGTACAGAGTGCCAACTAACTCCTCACAAAATCGAGACGAGCAATCTTCCTGATGAGTTACTTCTTTCATCTTTTCTAAGACCTTGTTTGAAATGATACTTAACGCACTTTGCAGCTCTCTTTATGCCAATTGATTGCACAAGTCAAATGGCAGTCATTATCTTGCTGAAATGTTGGGTTACTGGTATTAGAGAATTAAGACATACTAAGTGTTACTTTAAGACCTGAGTTTCCAGAGTATAATCCTGGCTTAAAGGTGAATTTTTTAAAGAACAAGCTTGACAAGGATTTCAAGAAATCATTATGCTCTATGAGTTTGAAGGGAAAAAAATTTTTTAAGCACCTCACTTAGACTACATGTAACTCAGATGTTTGAATAGTCAAATCACCCATTTTCTTGTGGGTGGTTAAAATCTCAGGGGAAAAAAAAGGCTATTGTGATTGAAGACTTTCCCCAACTTTTTGTTTCTCACTTCAGAGGCAAACATATGAATGTATGAATCACTTTTCTACCATGGATGATTGAAATTTGGTTTAAGAATTCTTAAAACTAAATTGGTGCCAAAACAAAAGTACTGCTTTGCAAGCTTTTATTTTTTTAAAAAAATCAAGTCTTTTTAAATCATACAGGCTTCAGAAAACATAGATTTTTATTTCATTGGACTTACTATCAGTCTGCAGGAAAGATGGCCATTCATTTTTTAAATTCAATAATGAATAATTCAGTACATTTGCTACGGTTTGAATTCCACAGGTCATGTTCTTTTTTTTAGGAAGCCAAATCAAAACTATCAAGACTTGAAAAAAACAGGTGTCTTCTCCATGTTCTCTGAGTGGGGATGGCTCAGGGAATCATTCCTCCTCTATTCTCAGGCCTCAAACACATTTATTTAACATTTTCCTTTCTTAACAGCTCAAGGTAATGTGTATTTTAGATTCCACCTACTGGCACACTGAGAATGCTTCCTAAACATTAGGAAGCTTATTGTCCAAGTCAAGAGGGAGACGGCAGGAGAGGAACTCTCTTTAGTGGCACTAGAGTCTGTCAGAGCTCTCTGACAAGGACTGAAGGCTTTGTCACAGGTTGTTACCAAAGACAGAGTCCTGCTCAGTCCTTACCTGGCACCCATGGCATCGGCATGAGTGCCATATGGAGTGGGGTTAAGTTTGCAATTTAATTGGAACTTAAAATGTTAGAGAAAAATTCAGTTATTCTACTTGTGCAGATGGACGGTTAAGGCCAGGACTCGTGTCTCGGGCACTATGACCTTGTAAACTCAGAGATCAGTGATGAATTTTAAAATGTCCTAAAATCGGGTTAATTGAATTCCGAGTACTCTACTTGGATACACAGTGTCTAATACAGCACCTGGATGCACGCTGAATGTTGAATGAAGGAAATTACATTTCCATGAAGTGACGTAGAAGGGAAAATTGGATTTTATTGTGGTCATATATACCACTACCTGGCAAAACACACAACATGTTTGTTTTGCTACTAAAGTATGGACTCTCCAGTATTGAAAAGGGAAGTCCACATAATCACATGCTGATCAAATCACCTGAAGTGACTCCACACATAGAGTGAGGATGGGCACTGGCCAGTTGCTGCCAGGCAAACCTCTGCCATGTTTCCTGCCCCCTGCAGTTAACCCTTCATGTCATAAAATCATCCTTTCCTACTAGGCACTTCTGGTTTTGTGAAACTATAGCTTTATCAGAATCGTCTATAAAAGTCCTTCTATCAGCTACTCTGGCTGATTAACCAACTTTTCCTTTGGATTAATGCAAGGACTCTCCTTTAGTGCCCAAATCCTATTTTAGTGAGTACCCTGATTAATCTTATAAAATGCAAATACAACCAAATCATTTGCCGACTTTAAATATTCCGTGACTTCCCATCATCCACAAAGTCAAGTCTAAACTCTGACCTCTCCCTTTGTCCTAACCTCATCTGCCATTATGCCTCACCTTTAGCCTAGACTTCCATGCCTTTACACATGCTGTCCCTCCAACTGGAGTTGTCCCATCTGGCGAACTCCTAAGTATCTTTCAAGGGTCAGCTCCAATTGCATTTCCTCAATTCTTGAGTGGTTCACTTCGTTCACACTTTTGCTCATACCAACATGGTGTCCTATGTCCTGCCTCCCTCCACATTCCCTCTAGACTGAGCTCCTTGAATGCTAAGTCCATGGATGGCCTCTTCCTCTTCATGGAGGCGAGGCACCTGGAGCAGTGCCTGGTACACAGTGGCCACTCCCAAGCGACTGAATGAACAAGTGAATGCGTGCCTTCCCAAGTGTCTGACTTAATAACCAGGGAGGGACTTGGCAACAGGGAAAACTTGACCTTCTCACTCAGCCAGGCTAGGGGCCTATTCTTTCTTCCCAACTCCAGGGGATATTAACTCAGTGCCTGCAATTATGCCTTGTACCTTGGCATGGCATGATGTTCAATATTAACACAGAGGCCTAGATGTAATGTATAAGTCACAGAAAAAATTTCCTAAGATTTTGAAGTCCATTTTGAAGTTTAGGGTATAGTTTCTAACATCAAATGCTACTCTCCAAGAAAGTCTTCTTATTGAATTGAATGACATGGTTTGCAAATATTAAGTTTAAAGAGAGGCCACAGTGTGCGGAACCATGTATTGTCTTAAGATAACTGTATTATGCATATTAAAACATGTAGCTTTCCTTTCCGGTGTGATTGCTTTGTTTGATCAAATTGAAAGTCGGGTTTTCTATTTTGGCATTATGTCTTATTTCCTTAGACTAAATGAAATTGTTCCATTATAGCAAATAGAAGCTTGATAATGGTTTGATTCAAGTTTTAATCAGAATGCTGTTCTCAGAATATTTTACCATTCCGCTCTTATTCTTATAATAGATATTGTTTCTTCAAATAGATGCTATGAGCTAGGATTGGGTTACAACCCTTATAGGACTTGAGTGGTTGAAATCCCAGGAGAATTTCAAACCAAGGCTGTCTGAGGCAGAGAGGGTGCTGCTTTCCTGCTGTCAGCTGACAATAAATATTAAGTTCATCACAGATCCCCATAGAAACAAAACACTGCAAGAAATGTCCCCCCTGGGATTTGATCTCAACTCCTCTTGGATGGGCATGCCTTTGGAGATTGATAAGCAGATAACAATTAGCACTGCTCCCTTCTTATTTCTAAAGTGGACTATACCAAGGCATCGAAGTCATTTCTTTTATTTTTTTAAGGCTTCCTCACAGCAATGAGGCAAGAAGTGACCCGCGCCCACAAAGGCTGGGCCCTGGACTCCGTGACCATCCACAACGAAGTTCTGCGGCAGACCAAGGAAGAGATCACATCACCCCCTGTGGTAGGCACCCCCAGGCCATAGCAGGGACAGTGCTGGAGTCAGGGCTGAAAATTCAAGTTCTGCCCTAAAACTGACCCATGAGGGCCTCAGTTCAGTCCACTGGCTTTGCAGTCCGGGTTTCCTCCATTGTAACCAAAAGACCTCAATGTCAAAGCCTCCTCCATTTGCTGGAGTGGGGATTGATAACAAATACAGGGAACTCTCTAGACTGTGTTTCTTTATAATTATAAGTTACACTTGTGTTTGCTGAAAAGGACCTTCCACACACCTCCAGCTACTGCTGTGGGCTACTCACAGAATGGATGAGTGTTGAGAGCACTAGTAGAGACTCACAGGATGAGAAATCCTGAGTTCTGGGGCCTTTTCTAGCTGCAGGACCCCAGATTGGGGGGCGTGGGGGTCTCGAGATGAGCAGACAACCATTGGGAGCCACTGTTTGGACATTTACCAGCTCTATGAACTCTAGCAAGTTCTTTTAACTTTTTTGAACCTCAGTTTCTTCAACTATAACATGAGGATGATATGTCAACCTCATTAAAGGTGGTTATGAGGATTAAATGGGATCATTGAAACTTGGTGACAGACCCCACATAGACACTCGCTAAATCGTAGTCCCCTTATCCCTTTCTCTGACTTTCATTCCCTCAATTGTCAAGGAAGGGGATGGACCACAGGATTTCCTTGTTCTAGCCCTTTCTGCCACTTTATAACAAGGATCACCTCTCCTCCAGTTCCCAACTGCATGGTCCTTACTTCTGTCTGAGATCTCACCGGAAGCACTTTCCATCTCTGTATTTCCACCAACAATCTAGGCTTTTTTCATCATGTGCCTCAAAATTCTTCCAGCTTCTCCCCGTTATACAATTCCAAAGTCACTTCCACATGTTTAGGCATGTGTTACAACAGCACCCCATTTCTGAGGACCAAGATCTGTATTAGTTTCCGAAGGCTGTTGTAACAAAATGTCGCAAACTGGGTGACTTAAAACAATATGAATCTATTCTCTCGCAGTTCAGGAGGCCAGGAGTAAAGATGTTGGCAAGGTTGGTTTCTTCTGAAGGCCCCGAGGGAGAGTCTGTTCCATGCCTCTCTCCTAGCTTTTGCTAGTTGGCAGCAATCCTTGGCATTCCTTACCTTGTAGCTGCATCGCTGCAGTCTCTGCCTCCATTGTCACGTGGCCCTCTCTCTGTGTGCATCTGTGTGTCCCCTCCTCTTCTTAGAACCCCAGCCATACTGGAATTTGGGTCCACCTGAGTCTAGTATGACCTTAACCAATTACATATGCAAAGACCCTAAATTCAAATAGTCACATTCTAAGATTCTAGATGAATTTTGGGGTGACTTTATTCAACCCACTGCACCCTCTAACTCTGACTTCATAAAATTCTTGGGACAGGAGTCTAGAAGGGATCCACTTTACTGTCAGATTGTTCATGTATAATTGGCATGCAGTAACTAATGATGGTAATCATATGTCCTGATGTCCTGGGATTGCCCGTGGTTTTACTGTCAAACCTTGTACCTCAGTTTTGGGTTCAAACAATATGGTCTTCATCCCGTTAGAAAACACTACACAACTAATTTCATTCTCTTTTGTTACAATCTACATTTGTTTCCCTTTATCAGTTCTTCCTGGAAATGAAAAAACAGTCACCATCTTCTACATAAATATATTTTATGAGCGTACATGATTATTGGAGTCTCCCCCATGATTCCTGTTAGCCTTTCTTGTCTTGCTGAATACATGTTCTATGGCTCCCCTCTGCCTACAAGATAAAGTTCAAACCCTTCAGGGTGGCATCTAGACGTCCCTGCTCAACTCCAACTTATCACCATTAAACCCTCTGCTGTGTAACTATCAGGGTGGGCTTTCTCTCTCTCTCTCTCTCTCTCTCTCTCTCTCTCTCTCTCTCTCTC